ATGGAGGCTTCTGCTCATTCTTGGAGACTGCACTGGTGTCTCCTCTTGAAAGCTCCCAAGGGTTCCCACAGAACCCTGGATCCATGGCAATGCCAGCACTTGTCACACGCTACAGTCACTGGCTCTACAGCTGTCTCCCCCACCAGCTTGCAAACTCCCTCAGGGAATGAGCTGTTCTGTACCCAAGACCCAAGATGTTTACTAACAGAGCCAAATGCAGAGTGGCACAAGCCCCAGGGTGAGCACCGGCTGTTTATGGCCCTATTTCCAAGTCACTAGGGGATCGTCTCACTCCCCTCACCAACACACAAATCAGAGGTTCTTGCAGCTGTAATATGGAATAAGCTGATCTGCCTGATTCAGGGCAGGCAACTCGGGTTTCCAAAGACGCCTCCAACAGACATGTGATCCAAACAATGAAGCCAGGGGTTCCCAGGATACGGCAAAGGAACCAGGGACTGGTTACCATTCCCTGCTGGCTGGCTGGTAAAGATGCCCCATTGGCGATGAGACTCAACCCAGCCAAAAGTGTCCTCAAGCAGACTTATCAAGAAGTTCTATTCAGAAAGACAGTATAATGAGCACAAGCTCTGGAGTCAAATCCTGGCTCTGCTATTCTTCAGCTGCTGTCACATTGGGGCAAGTCACTGAAGCCCCTTGAACCTTAGTTTCCACTTCTGTAAAATGGAAACAATGGTTCCTATAACCCACAGATGTGTGAGGGCTGATGGAAATAACACACAGGAAGTCCTTAGCAAGTATCTGATACAGAATAAAGCATTTGATAAATTGATAAGCTAATTTAAAGGCGCGAGAGTCAGGCAGAGTTAGGTGAGAGTCTGCAGGTATGGGGATGCTGGCAGAAGGCCCAGCCTCCTCTCTTCCTAAACCACCCCGCCCACTCGATAAATTCCTGAAATCCTTCAGTCACTCCCTTTCCCGCCCAGCTGCCCTCCCATTTGAGATTCCTGCCTCCCTACCCACTCCATCCTGGTCCCAGGCCTCTTTCCTCCCCTTGGCTTCTCTTACCAGCTCCATAAGTGCCCCTCACCACACAGTGAACCCTCCTGCTCCCCAATCTTCAAGACTCACAAACGCTTACTAAATGCTGCTCCATGCTAGAAAGGTCACAGCTGAGAATTGTGGCCCTGCCACTCCCCCATCCCACTCCCGGGGACGCATGAGAAGTCCCATCTAATTCCCTCCCACGAACCCTTTCCACAGGCCCTGTCTCCCTTCCACTGTTTCCCACCATATCCCTAACCCTATCCTTCTTCCTCCCCGTTAGTCGTCTCAGGGTCTCCCTCTGGAAACCTGCCTATTTCTTGACACTGAAGGTTTGTCTGCTCCCCTCTTCAGCATTCCCACCATTTTCCTCCCTAAAGTCTTTCCCTCCACTGAGAGCTCCATTTTTCATCATCCTCCACACCTGCCCCCAAATCCCGAGTCGTGGCCTGCATGCTCTTCAGCTGTCCCCAGTTCAATCATTCATTTTTTTCCTTCTTTAAGGAAGCAGTACTAGATGCTGCGAATACAACTGTGCATAAACCAAGCAGTCTCTGCTCTCCTGGAAGTGCCAGTTTGTTAGGAGACAGAAAAGAAGTAATTATAAACAGAATGATTTCAGAGAGTGGAGAAGCGCTCAATGAAAGCAAGAGAAAGAAAGATGTGGTGGATAGGAATTGGGATGGGGGAGCATGTTAGCTAGGGTGGTCTGGGAAGCCTTGTGAAGCTGATAATAAACATGGCTTATCACTACTGGCCACCTACTATGTAACTACTGGGTCAGTCACTTTCTATTTCCATTACGATGTTCATGATTCCCATTTGCAGATGGGGATCTAGAGGCTCAGAGAGGTGAAGTAATTTGCCCAAGGTCACACAGCCAGTGGTGGTGTCAGGATTTGAACACAGGTGTGGCTGCAAAGCCAGACTCTTAATTTCTGTGCACTCCTGCTTCCCAAGACCCTGTTCGCCACTTGTCCTCTCCCAGGGCTATAAAGTCATTTCCATCTCAGAGGTATCTATTTTTCATCATCCTCCCCACTTGCCCCAAAATCCTGGGTCTCAGCTTGCATGCCCCCAGCTTAGACTCCCCTCGGAAAATAATCTGTTTTTTTTTTTTTTTTTTTTTTTTTTTTTTTTTAATAATAATTAACTCCGTTTATCGAGCAATTGTACGTGTTCTGAGCTTAACGTTCATTCTCTTATCCAACCAACCCTCAACACAATGGCAGGAAGCAGGTGCTGTCACTCTACTCATTTTACAAGAGGGGAACCTGAGGCCTAAGTTCATACAGCTAAACTCGTACCCAGATCCGCCCGACTCCAGGACCCAGGTATTTGACCCCTAAGCTGTCCGCTTTAAGAAGTACCCCGCCAGCAAACTTGGTGGACACTGTCAAGAACAAAGTCTGCGTCCATAAACTGAAATCGCATCCTCTCGCTTTACAGGTGGGGATATCGAGACTCTGAAAAACGAAGTGACTTGTCCAAGGTCACACAGCCAACAACGACCCGGTCAGGGTTCGAACCCGGGCACCCTGACTCCTGAGCCCTCGCTCTTAATCCCCACACGGACTTCCCCGGGCGCCCCTCTCCTCCGCTCTCACGCCTCCCAGAGCCCCGACCCGGAGCTCGGCGCCCCGGTCCCCCTGTCCAGCCCCGCGGCTTCCCGCTACGCCCCCAACACACTCACTTGAGGTGGTCCAAGGAGTGGATGTTGCGGGAAGACTTGCCATGGCCCCCGCCCACCCAGCTCCGCGAGCGGCCAAACATGTCGGCGGCCCCGACCCGTCTCTCGTCTCACGGCGTCATGCCCAAGCGGCCGAGCGGCCCAGGGCCCGCGGCGGCAGCACAGGCGGAGGAGGCGGCGGCAGCGGAGGTGGTAGAGGAACCGCCGGCCACCTTCCTTCCCGGCCCACAGCCCCGCACTGACATTCAGCCGGAACCGGCCGTTCGACCGCCGCGCTTTACGGCCGCCGCCGCCTGGGGCGCTGGGAAATGCAGTTCACCCGCGAGGCCTTAGACAACGGGACTCCGCGAACGGACTACAAGGTCCGGCGTGCATCGCGCAACCGCGGGCCTGCAGCCATCCAGAAGAGGCGGAGCGAGAGGAGGAGCGACCACAGAATCTTCCGGAGGGGTGGAAATGGGAAGCTTTGTGCGCAGTCCCGAAGAGAGAATCGGCAAAGATGGGTCAAGGAATGTCTCCGCAGTAGTAACAATTAATAGCTTTATAATAAGAATAGTATTGTATGGTGTATATTAGGCAAAGCCACTGTCCTAACGGCTTTACATATTAAGGTTTTTTACAACCAGCCTGTGAGTTGGGTACTATTATCAAACCTATTTTATCATTACGGAAACGGAGTCACAGAGAGGTTGACTTATTCAAGGTCATGCAGTTAATAAGTGGCAAAACCAGGGTTCGTATCCACGCACGCACCCTTATTTTCATTTCCTTTATAAACCAAAACTGCTCTAAATAGGTAACAACCTTATTTGTCCTGACAGCCTTTTTCTTTTTCCACTTCAATTAAGTGTGTGTGTGTGTGTGTGTGTGTGTGTGTGTGCTGGAAAAGCCTGGAAGCAACAATGTACCAGAATGAACATCTTGTACCATCTTGTACTTTCAGAGGATTCCTTTGGTCTTCACCCAGAATCCATGCTATTTCCCAAACTACCACTTTAAAATGAAAAACAAAACACTCAACTTTCTACATGAGCCAGAATATATCTAATTTCTCCCCTAGATTAGAAGTGCTAAATTCAGTGCGGGCAAGACGTCTCAGGTTTACCATCCGTTCATTCAGTCAGTCACTTCTGTATAGCAAAGTTATTTAAGGTCTACTGTGTTCCATTAACTTTGCTTGACAAAGAATTGAGCCAGAATGTTTTCCCCAGTGCCTAGCACAGGTTTGGTACGTAGTAGGTGTTTAACAAATATTGGTAGAGTGCATGAATGAGTGAAGGTTTGTTTCACTTTCAGCAGCTGGAGAAATGGATAACCATGGAGGGTTAATGGTTTGCCCTGTTATCACAGAGAGGGGGCAATACAAAGTCATGCAGTAAAAAAAGAACAGGTTCTGGCCTCCAAAGAAAGCCACCCAGGCTCAGAAATGGAGGATCCCTGGGCTCGTATTTTTCATCTGCAAAAATTATGCACATACAGGCTGCCTTGTCTGCCTCCAATAAAGCAATGCATGTAAAATACTCCGCTCAGTGTAGCCCGAGATTGAAAGGTTTCTTGAACTGCTTTCGAAGGCTCTATGGACAAGATCCTGTTTTCCTGAAAGACGTGCAATGATTACCCAACAGCAGGCGAACCAGTAGGTGGGAGAGACTCACTTCTCTGTGTACTTCACGGTTGTTTGAATGTTTAGCTATACCTATGATCGCTTTTAAACATGATTTACAAAGTAAAAAGAAACAAAAAGCAACCTTATGGTTGAAGATCCGAATCACCTCGGAATCTCTTTAACTGAGGTGTTCGTTAACTCTAGGATGCAGGTTCCCTGGTGGGCAGGCCTTCCAGCAACCAGAGTATGTAGAAGCGAAGGGGACATCGGTTGATCCCCGCCATGAAAACTGGCGTTTTGGGGATGTCCAAGATTTTCCGGGCAACAGTCCGTCGCCCCTCCCCGACCCCGCCTCCTTTTAAAGGAGAGACAGAGTCTCATAGAGGCATGCAGCAAGGCGCATAGGAACCCCGCGGTTTCCTTCGGCTTTTGCGGCTTTAGCGTTCTGTCTAGGTTTGAAATGTATTCAGTCTCTTTTCCCTCCCCGTATTCGATACGCAGAGCGAATCCGATTTGAGATCCGAACTCAGACCCGAACCCAGAAAGCAACTCGGAGGCCAGCACCCCGAGGGGCGGAGCGAAGGGGTACCCGCCCTCTGGCGGCAGAGGCCAATCAGCGCGGGCGTTGAGCCGGCCAATCAGAGAGGGCACGGGGAGGCCTGCCAATGAGCGCGGGGCCGCTCGGGAGGCGGAGCTCGGAGCGCGGCCGGGAGGGCGACGCGGCTGTTGCAGCCATGGGCTCGGGGCCTGCGGAGGAGCGGAGGGGGCGCGAGCACCGGCCGGACCTGGCGAGAGAGACGGCTGCCGGGACCCGCCCTAGACGCTGAGCCGCGGTGGGGTCCCCGCCTCCCAGCCAGGGAGGCAACTCGAGGGAGCCGGGCAGCCGCCGGCCACTTCAGGGGGTCCGCCTCGCCGTCCGAGCGGTCGAGAGGGCCTTGGGGGGCACATCTGGGGGTGCGGTGACCCGCCCGGCGCGTTTCGGGGGTCGGGGCGCGTCTGGCAGGGGGCACCTGGAGCCCGACGCCGCCTCTGTGGAGCCCCGGGGCGCCCCTGGATGGCTGCGCTGTGCCCTCGCCGGCCGCCCTGGCGCCGCAGCGGCTGAGCTCGCTGGGATCGCCGGGCCGCCGCAGCCCTCGCCACCCGCTGCATGCTCGGCGCCCGGGTCGCGGCCCACCTGGACGCACTGGGCCCCCTGGTCCCCTACGTGCCGCCGCCGCTGCTGCCCTCTATGTTCTACGTGGGCCTGTTCTTCGTCAATGTGCTGATCCTGTACTACGCCTTTCTCATGGAGTACATCGTCCTCAACGTGGGCCTCGTCTTCCTGCCCGAGGACATGGACCAGGCGCTCGTGGACCTCGGCGTGCTCTCAGACCCCGGCTCGGGCCTCTACGATGCCGACTCGGAGCTCGACGTCTTTGATGGGTATTTGGAGTAGGGTCTCGACTGCCATTCCCCTCTTCCCTCCACGGTCCGCGATCCGCTCCCTGGACCAGCCGCCCAGATCATGCCGCCGCTGCTGGTTGGGGGCACCATCTGGACGGGGATGGAACCCCAGGAGGAGGCCCTCCCCTGCCTCCGAGACCTGTAAGTGCCCTCTCTGAACTGGATGAGGGCTGGTTGGGGCGCTGGCAAGGGAGAGGGAGGCATCCCCAGGCCGGATACACACCCCTCCCCCAGGTTTCTGCTCTGTCCACCTCCTCCAGGTCTTACTGGTTGCCAGGAATGGCCAGACCCCGCTTAAGCCCTTTGTTGGGACTGGAAAGCTTCCCCCAGCAAAGGGGACAGCTGGTGAAAAGCAAGGGGACCCTGAGACTAAGTCACGTTTGGGGTAGTCCTGTGACTTACCCCCCAAAGCTTATGAAAAAAGCCCTCGCACCCAAATCCATTTGAGGCAGAGCTGTCAGCTCCTCCCGCCTTCCTCATCCTGACTTGATGATGACCTTGGCTTTTGGAGGATTCTCAGTCGTCCTAGAAGGATAAAGATTTAGGGGTGTCAGAAGACATAGGTAGCCAGGCACGAATCACCTTTGTTCTGTGGCCCTTGGGAGACTGGGTGGGGATTAAATGCAGGGGCTCCAGGCCAAGGCTGTGAGAGGAGAAATCTCAAGCAAAGAACCCTGTACTTCCTTTTGGCCTTGGATTTGCTGCTATTTTGGAGTCAGGTTTCAGAGTGCCCCAGCTCATCCGTTCTGCAGCTCAGAACTGCAGGGGCTGCCAGTTTTGTAGGCTACCTACACAGAACAGGCAGGCAGGGAGCTGGTGCTAGAGTTCGCTTTGTCTGCAGGGTTTGCAGGCACTCACGGGGCTCTTCGGTCCTCGGGAGAAGGGACCACAGGGTCATTGCACTGACATAGTCAAGTCCTGTCTTTGGGGCTGCAACGGTGCAGCTTTGCGTCCAGCCCACTGTGTATGTGAGAGTTAGGGAAATGAAGGTCCAGGGAGAAAGAAGTCTTGGTCATCGTTGCCCAGCAAGGAAGAGAGGCAGCTGGACTCAATTCTTTAAAACACACGAGCCAGACAAGCTGTCAGGCAGCCGCCAGATCTGGTGAGAGTCACAGGGCAGGCAGGAACTCCTTGGCTCAGCCCCTGAGGCTGGACAGCACTGGAGTGTCACTGGGCACAGGGCCTAAGTGGCAATGAAGAGGGGATGCTGAGATGGTGGGCAAGGGCTCCTTTAGGAAAATAGACACTAATGCCACTCACCCGAGTCCACCCCTTTCCTGCATTGCCTGGCTTTGCCAAGGTGACCATAGGCAGAGGGTGTCTTAGTTCAGTCTGCTATATAACAGAACACCATAGGCTGGGGATTTAAACATTTATTTCTTACTGTTCCTATAAAGGCACTAATCCCATCCATGGAGGCTTTCCCTTCATGACCTTATCACCTCCTGAAGGCCTCACCCCCCCCCAGTACCATCATATTGGGATCAGGGTTTCAACATATGAAGTTCGAGGGGATACCAACATTCAGTCTGTTGCAGATGGTGATACAGGGTGGGGTAGGGCCTACTGGCTGCATAGCTGGGGGGCAGAGGGCTCCGCTAAGGGGACCTCAGTGAGATTTCTTTGAGGAAAGCTTCAGTTGAGCTCAGTAAGATCTTAGCAGGAGCCAAGTGCCATGGGCAGCGTGTGCCAGCTGCTCTGCACATCTCCCATGCCTGCCTGCCAGCCAGCCAGCCATCCGTTCTTTTATGGAACAAATGCTTGTTTGTTCAATACTGTGCCTGATGAGTGAACCCAGTGAGCAAGACAGACCCAGCCTTGGCCCTTTGGCACTTGGTGAGGAAGGCTAGTCGGAACCCAAACAAGAGAATCCGATTTTTGCAGAGCTATGAAGGCATGCAAGAAAGATAGGAGCCTGCCTGTCGTGTTCACTGGCGTGTCCTCAGCACTCAGAACTGTGCCTGGCATCTCTGCTGGTGTAGCCGTTGAGTGAGGCAGAAGTGAAAGAGTAGAATAGAGGTGATGGGCTGCTTTAGCTGAGGGGTCAGAGAAAGCCTCTCTAAGGAGATGATGCTTTTGAGCTGAGCCTTAATTTGATAGAGGGCCCTGGAGAAAAGCAGTCCAGGCTGAGGGAACCACTGGTGCCAAGACCTTCAGGTGAGAGAGTTGGTTTTTCCAGCAACCAAAAGGAGGCCTACGTCGGCTGGAGAGGTCGGTGAGGTGGGCGGGGGCCATACCATGAAGGACCTGGGAGGCCATAGCCAAGAGCAGTGGAAAGCCATTGGAAGGTTCTAGACGGGAGCTGACACAGTCCCATTCCCATTTTGCAAAGATGACTTTGGCAACTGTGGACAGAATAAGCTGAGGGGGAAGAGGGGAAGCAGGGACACCACCTCCGAGGCTGTTAGTTGTCCAGGCCAGAGGTGACAGAGACTTGGATGAGGTAAGTTTAGTGAAGGTGGAGAAACATGAGCAGACTGAGAACAACTCTCAGAAGTAGCGCCTATGGAATCCATTCAGAATCCGTCCCGAGCATCGATTCTATCGCGCTCCTGGTTCTAGCCCTTTACATATGCACTTACTCATTCAACAGACTTTGACCCTGCCTGCTCTTCTGCCAGGCCATGTGCTAAGGCCCTGCGATCCCAAGATAAATCCCTGTCTCCAAGCCAAGCCCTTGACTTTGAAGCAGTATAACTTGGTGAAGAACGTCTTATTTTATCTCTTTACCACATCAACAGAAACACTTCCCCTTCCAAATGAAAACATTGGCATATTCTGAACTAAAAACTGAATCCCAAATGCTTCAACATATTTTACAGCAAACGCTGTTTGAGCAGAAACACCAGGAAGTATCTCTCAGGGACACCCTTGCAAAACTCTTAGGGTGTCAGGGCCTGACCCTGGGAAGCGGGGTGGCCTGGAGAAGTGGTGGAAGCCATGCACAGCCTTCCCTCCTCCCCACCCTCAAATCCAAGCTGAGGAGGCCTGGTCCCCCTAGTGCCGAGAAAGCTCAGAACCCCTGGGTATGAGAGGGATGGTTAGCAGCAGGGAGGCCAGCAGGAAAGATCTTAAGATGATCTGACCCAGCCTCCTCTCCAGGTCTCTTTCCATAATCAGAGGAACGCTGGTAGTCAGTCCTGCTCTTTCTCAGTTGTTCTCCTCTGGTCACATGTGTTCCCCACACGCCAATCCAGGAAACGGTGATGAAGGGCGTGGGGCATGTCAGGCAATAGGGCCCAGAATGAATGTCAGGATGAACAGGTGTACCTACTTTTGCTCCCTCTTTTTTTTCCCTCTCTTACCTGTGGACCTACATAATCCAGTTCCTCAAACACTTGGTGAGCACCTACTTGAGGAGGCAGTATTAGGGTCATGGTTAAGACCCAAGCCCTGGGTTCACATCCCAGGGTAGCTGTGACCTTGGGCATGCTGCTTACCCTCCCTGTACTTGAGTTTCGTATTCTAGAAAATGGAAATAATGAAAATCTACCTGATTGTGAGGATTAGTGAGACATACATAAAGCACTTAGACCTCCTTGAATATCGTAAGAGATGTATTAATTTTAACCACTCGTATTCATAGTCAGATGGAACGAAGAGTGTGTCACACCCATGCCCTTGCAAATGTACAAACCTGCACCTATACCCGTGCGTGAATATTTATATCCCATGAGCAAAAGAGGATAGGTTCCCTGCGTGCCAGGGAGGTCCAGGTCTAGCCTGGCTCAGGGAGACTTCCCACTCTGCCTTCCCAGCCCCAGGACCCTCAGGAGACCTTTCTTGCTGCCCTGTGATCCCCAGGGCACCAGAACCCTGGAGAGCCAGCTCTGTGGTTTTCCTAGAGTGTTAATTGTTGCCCAGGAGCAGGGAATGGGGAATCAGGAGCTTCCTCCTTCCCAGGAGAAAGGGCTACAGTGGCTGAGCTGGGAGCCGGGGAGAGTCCTCACGTCCCAGTCCCGGTAGTTCTGGTGCAGAGGCAGCTCAGCTGGATTATTCGTCCCGGTTCCTAATGAAAGTGAAAGCCTCCGGTTTCTGCCAGCCCTCTCTTGGCACACAGTGAGCTGAAAATGCAGAGACTGGAGAACATTGCTGCCAGAGTCAGCTTGTCCTGACGCAGCTCAGATTTGGAGCTGAGGGTTATCAGACTCATCCGTCTATCTTATTCCAGGATTTCCTAGGCTTCAGTTATCTCCCAACTGGGAGCCACAGCTGCTCCTTCCTAACCTGGTCCCTCTTTGCGGATCTGTAGCCTGCGCTATCAGCAGAACCTCTGGGCTGGACATGTAGTTGTCCAGCTCAGAAACCCAAACCTGGGCCAGGTGCGGTGGCTCACTCCCCGTAATCCCAGCACTTTGGGAGGCCGAGGCAGGTGGCTCACAAGGTTAGGAGATCGAGACCATCCTGGTCAGCATGGTGAAACCCCGTCTCTACTGAAAATACAAAAGTTAGCTGGACATGGTGGCACGCATCTGTAATTCCAGCTACTCGGGAGGCTGAGGCAGGAGAATCGCTTGAACCCAGGAGGCGGAGGTTGCAGTGAGCCGAGATCACACCACTGCACTCCAGCCTGGCAACAGAGTGAGCCTCTGTCTCAAAAAAAAAGAAACCCAAACCTTCCATGGGGACACAGTCAAAGTTGAGTTATGGGAGATTGCACAATCAGGGGTCTGGCAGATGCAGGAAACCCCAGGGGCTGTGGCTGTCATCCAAGCAAGAGACAGACAACAGTGACCCAGGGAGGCAGGTATACCCCCAGGCCTGGCCACCTCTCCAGCTCTGCTCCTGACATGAGGCTCACCCATAAGGTCCTTGGCTGCAGGGTACATTGGTACCAGCTTCGTCTTCGGAGAGGAGAAAACCCCAGTATGTGTCTCAAGTCTCAAGACAGTGAGATGTCAGGGGCCCTACTCTCTTAGCCCTGAGTTATACAAACTAGAGATTTCAGCCAAGAAACAGGCAGGGTCTACCCTGCTTACAGCCCTTGTGTCTGTTTTGCTGAACTAAGAAAGCGAGGGTGCCTCTCAATTTGGATATTCATATTTCTGGTTTATCTGATAGCTTTCCTCCCAGAACTACTTTTTTAACTACTTTTTTTTTTTTTTTTTTTTTTTTTTGGAGACAGAATTTCAATCTGTTGC